ATCAGAACGAAAGCATGTTCGATGTTTTTTCTTGCCATGAGGCTGGTTTAGTTCACTGATGAATAACAATTCCACGAAAAGAGCACGTGAATAGGATCGAGAACAATGAAGAATGTTACCAGAATGTTACCGTTTGTTTCACAATGGCTAACCTCTTGTTCTCCTACTAGTACTTTTCTGTGTTTTCCAGGGTTGAGAGTCCTGTGAAAAGATGACAAAAGATCTTGAGCGTTATTAAGTAATATGTTAAATACAACAGTGCGAAGCTCGCCAAACTATAACCTGAATTTCAGCCGTCTATTCGAAGTTCAGGTTAACAAAACTAATGAAAAACGACATCGTAATTTTCTATGCTACTTAAAATCTGACATAGCGTATTATGAGGCCCTGATAGAGTAAATTTCGACGAGCGACATGGCGTTGAAACAGCCACATCAGGGAAATGAAATGGCGACAAGCGACTAGATTACTGCTGCAATCTGCGAAAGCGACGGGAAAAATTCGGAAGGGACAGCGAATTTTGTCTTTTTAAACATTCGACAGCGACTTAGGAGCCGTAGCCATTTTAAAATAATTTCGAGAGACATCCTTACATTTAAAAACTTCGGTATGACATTGATGAAATTGCGACAGCGACATCAGAACCTTCCGAAATGGCGACATGACAAAGTTTGAAATTCAGACGGGGGACATCTATACCCCCCTAACAGGGCCTCTATTATCATTTCTTTTATGTTTTCACCTACATGTTACATATTAGTTATCAAAGAACGAAAAAACGTCTCCAACGACAGCTAATCAGAATTGGTTTATATGGCCAGTACAAGCAGGTTTGGAAAGATCGTTTCGATCGAAATTTATTGTGCAATAGTCGTAGGGTCAACCACAATGTAAATATTCCCTTAGTAGAGGGTACGTTTGTACAAGGAACTTCTTCTATGACATCAAATTGACCCCAAAAAAGGTATTTGTTTCGCAAGATCGCAAAGGTCAAGAAATACTCCATGAGAATTTATCAGTGAATGATGACGCACGTGATATTTGGCCGGTAGCGGCGTTACTTTAGAACTGAACGGAAAGAGAACAGTAATTTTAAATACAAACACACGCCAGAAAAACACACTAGCGTGTCGTCAGTTATAATGTCGTGATTTTTCAACACTTTCACTCTTCAAACTGTCATATTTATCCGGAGGGACTTACAATCAGGAAACGAAGCAAAACAAACTAAATTCAAAAGACAGTAAGCAGTACTAAAACACAAAAGATAATCAACAATG